TATAATTTTAAAATTAATAAATTTTTATTTAATGTGAAAGTAGAAAAAAAATAGGTTGATGATGAAATTGAAAATAATTTTAAGAAAAATGGGTAAAAATTTGGGTTCGAATGGTGTTTTTTAAAAGAAAAAATCAAAAATTGATGGTCAAAATACAATTTAAAAAAATTGTGTCATGTAGGACCGCCCAGTCAACAGCCCCCACGAACTGGAGCGTGTCATGTGGTAAGGTACGCTGACCCGGTGCCACGCGGGAGGCCACGCTGGCAATCCGTGTGCTTGCGATCGGACGGCCTGAATGCGTTCCCGCGCGCGTGGACGGTCCAGATCTGTTCCCTCCTCAGTTGCGATCGGATGGTCGTGATTAAATGCGATGAGCAAACCAAATTCGTTCTCTCTTTAAATGTGATTGGACGGTCGAGATCAAATCATGATGAACGGTCAAAATTTATTTTCTCTTTAAACGTGATTGGACAGTCGAAATCAAACGTAATGAACGAACCAGATCTAAGGGAGACATGTATAAATATCTCGTATCACACCAAACCTAAACTCTAGTTGTCAGTCTTCTGCCAGAGAAGAAGAATCAGTCGCTGGAAAAAGGGAGCCGATTGCCACCCGTTGCTGTGCCGGAGCCACCTCCGACCGCCAAAAAAAGTAAAATTTCTCTTATTCGCTCAGAATTTGATTCCAAACACCCACATGGTCAAATTGGAGTAAAAGAAATGTTGGATGAGCCGAAAATTATGGGCAAAGCCCGACGTTGCCGCCTTGGGTAAAATCTAAAATTGCCTCCGATGAGTCCCTTTTTATTTTCGTTTCGTGCGATTTTTTCACTATTGTGTTTATCATTCTGTTTTCTATAGCTTGATCGAAGAAACATGCTCAATCGCGAAGGTGAGTCGGTGTAGCCGCCGCACTGAAAAATTTCGCAGTCGATAGGTTTTCATTTTTTGATACTTTTTTCAGCCTACCGAGGCCCTCATAACGTGTTTTATCGCAATGATGAGTATAAAATCGGTCGAAACCGACTAAAATTAGCTGAAAATAGTGAGACCGAGGTAAAACGGCACTGCAGGCAGCGATGTCGTTGCTAGAGCACGACAGTGCCGCCATGCTAGAATTCTGAAATTGACCGAAAAAGATTTTTAACACTAATTTTAAGTTTTTTGAGGTATTTTTAGGTACGTGAAGTGTGTTTTAATTTTCGTAAAAAAATTTAGAAAATCCAGAGACAGCCAGTAGGTACAGTAGAAAGTTTGGTATTTCGGACACCAATTCGGGTAAGAATCTATCACCTTATTCTCTGTTATGGAATTGAAGCTTAATAATCGGTAATATGGTATTTTGTGTAATTTAAAATTTTTTTAGAATAATCACATATTACCAATAGAGCCAAAAATCGATTAGTCATTTATTTGTTGTCCTGTTTAATTGATGGTTGAATTTATAGCTTTAAATATATGATGATATACTGAAATGATTAATTGATTCAGTTGTGCTTTCTTGATATATATATATATATTACTTGTCTTGTGTGAATTACAGTTAATTTGTGAAATTGGTAATTAATATGTAAACAGAAAATTGATTGGTCATATGAATTAATAAATGGTAGTTTCACTGAATATCCTGGGAGTTAGTGGACGGAACGGGTACATAGGGAACACTATCGTGAACGTTACCTCATACTGGACGGGGTATCGAGAATTGATATTTTTTGCGCTCATACCAGACATGGTATGAGGATGACCTGATTCACCCTCATACTGGATATGGTATTGAGGGATAATATTTTTGACGTTCATACTGGACGAGATATGGAGATGACCAGTTAGTTGACAATGTTGAATATTAGTTCACGTGTAGTGAGATATTCTTATGGGTCCTTAGGGATACTAGTAGCAAATAAAAAGGAAAAATAATTGTTATTGCTCACTTGAAAATGAGATTGGAATGCTATTTGAATTATGGTATCTATAGGTCGATTTTACAAATCTCGCAACGGTAAATATATGCAATAAATAATTTTTCTTATGATAAATGAATTTATTTAAATTAAGAGTTCAATTAGTTATTTTTATGATTTTTACCAACCTTCAATTTCTGCATTAGTGAGTAGTGTAATATTTTTATTAGGCTAACGTAACTCACCATTCATTAACTATTTCAAATCAAGAGGACTAAGACCCAGATCCCAATCAACAAGAGAGTTGTGAATAAGTTTACCACCCGGACTCCCTTCAGAAATTAGTAAAGGTCGTTCTAAAATATTAAGTTATTGACTTTTTGCTTATTTTTTTTATTTTCGTATTTTTTTTGTAGAATTAACATTTTTGTAATACTATTGAGTATTCTAAATTATTGTGTAAGGAATGTAAACGCTAAATTTTATTATTTCGCTTCCGTATTTAATTCGTGTCTTTATTTCTTTTTAAATTTCGAGCATTTTACAAAAAAAATACTTATTTTATTTTGGTTTCTTAATCTATAAGCTTTTTATTAATGGAAGTATATAAGAAGTATATATTTGTATAAACTATTAAATAAAAAAATAATTATTTAAAAAATAAAAATAACATGAAATTTTTAAAAAATTATCATTATTTTATTCACTATTAACTCACGTATATGACTTATAAATAAAGTAAATATATTTAAAATGTGACTTTATTTTTTCAATTTACATGTTACTTTAGCACGACAACAATTCTCTATATTAAAACAATATTTTTTATTGAGTTTTTATTTTAAGTTTAATAAATTTTTTATTTATTTTCATTCATTTGTATAAGTGTATAGATTCAAGTTTTGAAATATAAATCTATGTGTTCCTATTAAAAAATTATGTTATATAACTTCTTACTAATCAATTATATTATTATTGTTGTACTCGTATTATTTAATTAGTAAAATAATAAATTTATATTTAAAAAAATATTTTCTCATTTAAAATTTTTTGACAAAATACTTATTTAGAGTATGATACACCTAAATCAATATGTCATAATTATTTAATAATAAAAAAGACATTAATAGAATAAATTCAAAGAAAATAACATATATGGACTTAATTATTATATTAAGAAAAATATGCTAATTTTTACATTTATAAAAATAATTAATTTATCAAGTCATTCACATATATAATAATAGATACAATTTCGAATTTTGTTTTCATTAAAAAATTTTAAATAATTTTATCATGCAATGAATAAATTTTTTTTACCAATTTTAAATAATTATTATAATAGTAGATAATAATCATCTTTTTTTTTTTTTCATAATCTTATGGACAAAACGACAGTCGTATTGGCAATTGCAGATAATTTATAGTAACATTATGGGTCGAAAAATAAAAATAGAATAAAATTAGGACCAAAAAGAAAATTGAATATAAATACATTAAAATTTGAAATTCTGAATCCAGGTGAGAGGCTCGCGCAATAATAAAACTCTATCTAGTTTCATTCTCCCGCGGCCAAGACAAACTGAAAGCAAAACCGTTTGCATCTCTCTGTTTTCTCCCAATTTGAACTTCGAAAATTGTATAATGGCGACAACTAAAAGGAACTCTAGAAAGCGAGGGTCAGAATTTGTGCTTACCAAATCGGATCCAGTAACTCGAGTAGACGACGACCTCGATCTTGATCTCTCTAGGTTTCGTTTCCGAAGACAATCTCATTCTATTCCTTTTTCTTTTTCGAAGCAATACCATATTTATGGCTTCTATTTGTTGACAAAACTAATTATGGTGAAAATCCAGTGATCTCAAAGGTATCTTGTCGGCTCTGCAACAGATTAAGGAGAAAGCGGCCAAGGACGGTCAAAAGAAGAATGAAGAGACAATTTCGAGGTGTTTAAATTTGGCATTCTCATTTCCGTGAAATATAGTTATGGAAATGAAGGATTTTCTTCTTTCTTCGTTTTCTAATGCTATGACGTGATCGTGTGCGCTTTTGTGTTGTCTGTTACTTTTCTATCATTTTCAAACAAAGTTACGGTTTCATTTCTATTTTGTTGAATTTATTACCGTAGAGGAAGTTTTACGGTTATTGTGAGGTTCAACATCATTTCATTCAGAATTGAAGAATTTTCGTGATTGTCAAGCAGTTTATGAGCTTTCTGTTTTGGTCGATTAGTTTAGAGGTTTGATTAAATGACTGAAAATTGAACACCTTCCAACTATTCTCTAACATTCATGTCTATCGCATCATTTTGCATGGATTAGATTAAACTCGTGATATATCGTCATAGTCTTAATATATGTTGATTCTATTAGTATATATGCTTTAGGTGGAACAATCAAACTTAGTTTTGTAGACATTTATAGGTTTTACAGAATTCTATAGAACTGAAGTTCTGATTGTTCGTAATAAACTCTTCTTCCTTATTTTAGATTTGCTACCAGAAAAACATGTGCTGTAATTAAAATTCCATCTTTGACAAAAAAAAAGATGAATTGTAATATCTTGTTTCCAGTCAATTTTGATACGCTTTCCGTATGTTTTAAGGAAAACAATTGATTCCTTCAATTGCTATTATGATCCACTTCTGCTCATTCCTAAGGCCTCATCAATAATGGTGAATTGGTTTTGTTAGTTTCTGTTGTCTCTTTCCCAAGTTTGGCACACCCGACTGCGGAATCATTTTTGCTACTTGCTGTTTATGTTTTTGGTGACAGTGTAGCCTCTGATATAAGGTCTAAGATTGATGAGTTGAAATCAAAGCTTGAGAAAGAAAGGTAAATTCAAATATGAAGATTCTTTCATTAGATTAACTTGCTTTGTCATAATCATACCAGCCTTATTCATGCATGTGATGTAATTAAATCTGCTGATTTTGTATTCGTAAAAAAAATTTGTACTGCAGACAAAGTTTTGCGAAGGCACTTTCAAAGAGCTCAAAAGAGGTTAATGGAGAACAAAAGAGCTTAGAATGATTCCTATTGAAATTGAATTTGTCTTCTTTGGTTTTATGAATTCCTTAAGCCATTCATTAAGCGATTTCATATCTGCAGTGTGAAAATTGCTTGAAGAATGAGACTGCCAAATATAAAGAGCTTTATGAGAAATTTTGCAAGGAGAAAGCTGGTCATCTGCAAGCCTTAAAAGGTACTCCCTCCTAGTAATTCCAGTACAAGTCATGTAATTAACTTGTACTTTCATTAGAAGCACGTAGTCTACTTCAGCTTTTCAACTGCTAATGTTCATATTGATACCTGGTTCCTATTACTATATGCATTACCACTGAAAGTAGCTGTTTCATTTAGTAGCTTTCAGTAAATGTGATTAAACAACTAGTAAATCATACTTATGAGCCGTTCATGATCTGGGTTTGCGTCCCTTTAAGCTGCATTGTTTAAAATATGTCTGTGTGTGTGTTGGGTTCATACTGATAAAAATATTTTTATCTGGAATGATGTTTAATTTTAAACTAAAGACACAATTCTGAATAGCAAATACTTTTGATTAGTATTAATTGTTGTATGTGCTGCTTGTTGACAGATACTATATCAAAGTTTGAAGAAGAGAAGGAAAGGCTATTCATGAAATATGAACAACTAAGTGAGCGTTGTAAAACCGACTTTCCCTCTTTAAGCAAGACATGAGCTCAACAATTAAGCTAATATTTGGTCAATAACAGGAAAAAAAGAGAAGATCATGATATCTGAACAACAGAAACTTTTCGCTGATAAAATTGGCCAATTGGAGGAATCCTTGAAGAAGAAGAAGCAGGTAAACTCATCTTTTTAAATCAATCAATCGCCCAGTTTAGACCTTGTTTTCTGAAAGTTTTATATCCTATTGATTGCTTTCCTGGTGAAAAACAGGACAACAAAACTTTCAGCCTTTTAAGGAAGACTCTTGGCTCATTCTTTGAAAATTCCTCCGATGAGGACTTCCCATCTTATGGTTGAATGTTGCTTCAGTGAACATCACTAACGGCAGTAATCTCCATGTCCTCCCAAGACACAAGCTCATGTTTAATATCCAGAGGATTCTCTTCATTTCAGGTGCTGTACAGGAACCAATGAAAATCTAATCTTTGCTCTCTAAAGTACATTATACTGCCCGTTCTTTTCTCTTCTTATTGCATCGTTTATATGGGAACAAGAACTCGTGTATTTGTTTTGAAGAATATAATGCTCAGTTAGTTGTATGGAAACAAGAAAAATATTTTTTTTTGAAGAATATAAAGAAAAATAAATGTTAAATACTAAATGCTAATGAACTGTCCTTCGTAAAATCTACTCTAATTATTTTTTTTGAAAAAATAATCAACTAAATTAATTGATCACCTAAATAATATAAATACTATTGTAAGTACCTAAACTAAATCCTTTAATTTAAAGTACAAGAAAATTAAACTCAAACCCATAACAACATTTTAGCAAATCATATAAGTAAACAACATTCCATAGCCTTAATTTTAATTTTTAAAACCCCTAATCTCATCAACCATTGATTTTGATTATCTTGATTCTCTGTTTAATTATATTATGTTGTAAACAAATTAACGTATTATTGAATTTTTATGCATTTTTGATCTTCAAAAGTTATTTTACATTTATTTTCTAAAAATATTAACTTTTAAACCAACAGTTTATGGTTTTAGGATGATAATGAAATAGGTGGAAAAGTGCTTCATTTCATTCTGTTATTTTTGCTTGTCTCACATCGACGGAGGCTCTTTGTTGCAATAGAAGGGCATACTCTCATGCTTTGAAAATCATCTTATATAAGATTAAAGCCTTTACTCTTTCATGTTTTATTGTCTTTTTTTTTTTTTTTTTTTTCTGTAGTGATATATTATACTAGTAAATTATAATTTAAGAAAAAAATTCTTAGACAAGATTGGTAAATTAGATGGTTAGAGGCTACAAAAAATTCAACGGGGCTACAAAAAACTAGTGGCTCAGCCTCCTTTTTCAGGGGATGGATAATAGCATTCAACGCATGTTTTTTTACTAACGTAATATATCACTCCATCAGGAGATAACTAAACTAGATCTTTTTGTGGCATCATGGCTGCCGGTGCTTAGGTTAGAGAACTCGAAAAAGAAGCTGTTAATCGACTGTAACAAGCCAACTTTTAGAAAAATCAGCAAATCTACATATATATATATGTATAGTAAAACCAACTAGCCAGTAACCCAGGGACGCAGCAAGAAGTTCAACTACCCACATAAGTTTCCGCTTACTCACAAGCTTTATTGTCTACTTTAGGAAAAACTGTTGGTTCGTGGACTAATTTGAACTTAAAATTTAACAATCATTTGACTCCAAAGCAACCTCAATTTCCTGCAAGACACATCTTGGTTCTTTAGAAGGCATGTGCATTCCATAGCAAAAGAATAGAAAACATAATATCACGATTAGAATGTTGACATCGCAAGTCTTACATGCCCTATTCAGCCATGGATAAGAAGTCTTTTGAATTGGATGACTTCTATGCATTGTCTTCAGAAGAACTGTGAGATCGGTGAATGAAACTTGCCAACGACATCCATGGAATCATAGTGCTTAT